TTGGTGATCTTTATCTTAAAGTTGATACCTGTGAAAACATAACTTTAGTTTGTTTGTTTTTGTTATTTTCTTTTTTATGACATTTTCATTTTTGCTTTTGAGTTGATTTAATCTTTCTGGATTGGACAAGAAATTTGGGCCATGCTTTCAGCAGCCTTGAAAAGAATGAAATTAATCATATGGGGCAGCATAATATAGGCAAGCATTTGTTGAGAGAAGAAACTTTCACAGGTATGTGGATGGATGGTCCAGGACCCAGGTTCCAAGGCCATGATGTACATGGGCCCAGAGATGGCCTCCCTGATAGGCCATGGGACAATGACAGGTCCAGAGATGGAGATAGAAATATGGACATGGATCGATTCAGGGAAGGAGACCGAGGCCGTGATGAAGACAGAGGGAGGGATCTTGACCGGGATCGCTCCAGAGATGACCGAGGACGAGATGACCGCGGAAGAGATGACCGAGGCAGGGATGACCGTGGAAGAGATGACCGAGGCAGGGATGATCGTGGAAGGGATGACCGCACAAGAGATGACCGTTCAAGAGATGACCGCTCAAGGGACGATCGATCCAGGGATGATCGCATGAGGGATGACCGCTCTAGAGATGACCGCTCCAGGGATGATCGGCCTAGAGATGACCGGTCTAGGGATGACCGTTCCAGAGGAGACCGATCTCGGGGTGATCGCTCAAGAGATGATCGTTCTAGGGATGATAGATCAAGAGATGACCGGTCTAGAGATGAGAGATCAAGAGATGACCGTAGAGATGATCGCAGAGACGACCGGTCTAGAGATGATAGATCTCGTGACGAGAGATCTCGTGATGAACGTGGACGTGAGGAACGGCCATGGGAGAGTAATAAGTCTCGCGATGGGGACAGGCCAAGGGATCGTAGGGATGAAAAGAGGTCGTGGGAGAAATCAAGATGGGGACCACGTGAAGAGGAAGAGGAAAATATACCCATGGAGGGTAATGAACCAGGCAATTGGGATATGTGGGCTTCTGTGTCAGATAATGTGAATATGGGACTTAACAAGAATGTAATGGAAGAAAAACCAAAAGAAGAAAAGATAGACTTAACTAAGGAAGAATCACAGGAGGAGGATCAGAAACCCACTGAAGAAAAAGGCCCAAGTTTAGCTAAGGAGGAGTTGAAAATGGATGTTAATGAAGAAAACACTGACAGCAAAGAAAATCTGTTATTAAAAGATGATCCAAGTTATGCAGAACAAGGTGACAATCCTGAATGTGCCCCACCTACCATACCAGAAATGGATCAGGCAGATGAAAACATTCAAGATGAGTCAGCTGACATTGATAATTCTCATCAACAAGAACAGGAGCAGGAAATGGAAGTAGAGGACCACATGAAAGTTGAGCATGAAGATACAGTTCAAGAATCTGAACCACAACCTGTGGAGCAAGAAGAACAAAGAGAGGAATCCCAATGTGAAAATAATGCTCAAGAGTGTGACCTCCCCCAGGAATCAGATGAGGTGCAACAGGAAAACACAAATCAAGACACACATTCTCAGGAAAAGAGTGAACAAGAAGAGTCCTCCCCACAGAGGGAGTTCATTCAAGAGAGAGAGTTAGAAGCATCCTCACCACAGCAGGAAAATCCAGAAGAGGAGTTTGAGGAGTCAGGGAGAGACACACATGAAAGGGAAGCTGAGGACTCCGACACTGAACACCAAACTGCTGCAGTGGAGGAGGAGAATGAAGGGAGATATAGTGTAAATAGTCCTGGTAGTGATAATCCTCAGCCCGAGGGAGTTGCTTATGATGATGGTGATGAACGGGCCAATGAAGGGGCAGATGAAGGCTCTGGGATTGATGAGGAGCAGGGTCAAGTAGGTGATGAAACTGAAGGACAGGAAGAAAGTGATGGTGGACTAAATGAAGACTGAGCATTATGCTTGAATATCATTTGTGCCTAAGCAGTTAGATTTTCTGAATGAACTACTCGGGAACTTGGCAGAACCAAAATTGCTTAAAACTATGATGTGAAATGTGATCATGAGCTTAGTGTTTTAAAGTCATCTGATATATATACAATGCAGTTACAATGATGCAGCTGTGACATCAGTGGAATTTGAAATTTGATATTTCAGTACTTTTACTGACTGATAAAAGTGGATAATTGCAATAGTGTTTCAAAGGAATATATTGAGAAATTACTTGAGGTGTACCTGAAGTCTGCTGGGACATGATGCCGCAAGTGACGAACCTACCTGGAATGGGGGACATGTGTCATGCTATTATTTATATTCCTCTCAGGCGAGTGACTCTGTACCTTTTGGCTGTGATCTTATAATATTTTCATAAGCAGTTCTGTACAGTTTTAGCTTTTTTTTTGTTTTAATTTCAAATATTAACTTCAATAAATTTTTAACTATTTTGCATATGACGGGATATTTCATTTGTCCAAAGGTAATTCTGTTAGTAAAAAAAAAAAAAAAAATGGAAAGGAAAGAAAAATGATGTACATCACAAAAAACTGAAAAATCTTTGAAAATAATGGCTCACCAAGGAAGAGATCATTATTTACCCAAAATATAACACCAAGGCAATGTCATTAGGTACATGAGTCATGCTGGATGATACGACTCAGGTAGGTCAGTAACTTCGGCATCTCTACAGTCAACGACCAGCTCAGCGATGGACCCAGCATGTCCACTCAAATGTAGTGGTTCATGCAAGGTATGGTACCAAGTGGGGATCCTCAAGTGTACAGATGAAAACAAGTGTACAGTGCACATCTGCCAACAAGGATAAGTGCCCAAGTGAAACTGTGTATAAAGAAGTGGGGTGTTTTAGCCCATAATGCAACGAACTAGACAAGCTGCAAGAAAGTGAATGCAATATTGTTCCTCTGAGATGTTGTGCATTCTCGTGTGTTGGTGACCTCAATAACTTCTTCCTCCTGCCAGTTATATGCTGTTACTAAAACTTTTGTTAAAAACAAAATAATTTTGTGTATATCTTGAACTTGTTGATTCCTTGTTTTCCTTGATTCTAAATATGCCAGTAATTTTTAGAGGCCTAAAGCTAAATGATAAGTTAAAGTCAACAGCTGTTAAAAGAGAAGAAGGGCCTGAGTGGTGTGCTCTCACACTTGTTTTATTCTGTATTTCATGGTGGGTGGGCGGGAGCTGGATCTTGCCTCCCGCCCAGCCATTACCTCTTCTGCAGTCACAAGTGTTACTCCAATCTAACCTCCACAAACACAGTGAATTTATGACTCTCCTCGCCTTCCATCTCTCCATCCTCCCTTGGTCATTGTTATGTCAGTCCTCCAAACCTTTTTCTCCTTCACATCCAGTCCAATCAGAGCCTTTTATCTCAGCCCTGAAACAGATCCCCCAAATGCATCCTCTTCAACATGTCCACCTCGCCATTGATTTTTCTGTATCTAGCCACTTGATCTATTAAGACCATACTTTTCTTGTGTGTTCTTGACACAAGCACGAGTTGGACACATTGCATGTCATATCTACAGATGTAGTTAAGAAAGCATTATGGGAATAGTCAGGAGTCACTAAGAATGAGCATAATTTGCAACATGCATTAATTGTCACTACATGATTCATGATGAGCACTTTACATGGAAAGTTAGTGTGAGGTGGATGGTACCCTCTGTGACTGCAATTTTGGAGAGTCGACCATTATATTGTTAAGTGATTTTGACATTTCATATTTAAATGGTGATCGACGGTGTAATCTTAGGTTTAAGTTAACTAGAGATAGTGTAGAAGTGACTGCACAGGCCAACACAGAGTGAGCAGGTGATGGCTGTATATCCTTCCTAGCCCTGGTCACCTCCACCCCATCAGAGTCTCCGCCACCACCACCGCCTTCACTGCAGCCTCCAGCCGATCAGCAGGATGATGGCGGTGGACCAGCCTAGGGTGGGATATATGATTGTATACTGTGCTTAATGTAGTAATAAAGTGTTTGTACTCCTGATAAATTTCACTGAGCCTTAGTTGCCTTTTTATTTATTTAATAGAACAGTTACTCTTTCATATAGAATAATATATAATATAATAATACATTATGACTAAATAAAGCAATGTTGTCATTAAACCTGATAGGATATATATATATAACTTAACTTCATTATCAGTTACTTATATTTAAAAAGTTTGATGATGAGTTAATGCCTTTTTCTTGTTTTACTTTATTCACAATTTTAAAAATGCGGTTATTTTACTGTTTGAAATTGCAAAATGCTTCATATACCGTTATAGAATTTCTAGGATATTTCTATTTCAATTCTTATATGCATTACCTAAAGATATATTACAAATCATAACATTTCCATTCATTTATGAGGATCAAAGTAATGCTAAGAAAAGATCGTTAGTAAAGACAATATACATCACAGTAATATTGATGAGCTGATAAGTAACATAGCTTGATTATGAATATATGTATTTTTGTGTGTATGTGTGCAGTATAATGATCTGTGTGTAGTGTCTCTCTCTCTCTCTCTCTCTCTCTCTCTCTCTCTCTCTCTCTCTCTCTCCCTCTCCCTCTCCCTCTCCCTCTCCCTCTCCCTCTCCCTCTCCCTCTCCCTCTCCCTCTCCCTCTCCCTCTCCCTCTCCCTCTCCCTCTCCCTCTCCCTCTCCCTCTCCCCCCTCTCTCTCTCTCTATATCTCTATATCTCTATATCTCTCTATCTCTCTATCTCTATCTCTCCCCCCTCCCCCTCCCCACTCTCACGCTCACTCTCATGCTCACTCTCACTCTCTCACTCTCTCACTCTCTCTTTTCTGAATACACATATGTGTATACATGCATACACACATTAACAAACCCACACACATTAACAAACGCAAACGCAAACCCACACACACGCAAACCCCCACACATGTATATATATATTATGTATATATATATATATTATGTATATATATATTATGTATATGTATATTATGTATATATATATATTATGTATATGTATATATTATGTATATGTATATTATGTA